ATTTTCACAGTCGGCAAGGTATCGAAGTCCGAGGTCCTCCTTTAGCCTTTGTCTAAGGAACGTGCAGGGAAGAAAGTACTCCACTTTGTCGGTCCCATCTCTCTTGATTTTCCTCCGCTTCTCTAGGAAAGTCTTTGTCTCTTTTGAGATCTTTTCCTCCACTCTGTTTGACTGTACTTCGTCGGCTCACTTCTGCACAGTTCCTCAGTTTTTCGACAAGGTTCTCGTAGTCCTCATTGCATCTGCCTTTGAGGCTTCAGTCTTCTCTAGAAATGCGCGCTTGGAGCATGCCTCGGAGACTACTTTCGGTAGTTGTAATCGACTTGCCATCTGCAGTGTCTTCCTCTCGATCTTTTTCTCCGAAGATTAGCCTGCTCCGCACCAGTGTCTGATCACTGCCGGTGTTAAGTGATGGCATTGCTGCTGCGTCTCGGAATTTGCGGCTTTTTTGAACAGGCCGAAGTCGATCTCGTTCTTCGTCACCTCGTTGCGCGCGTGCGCGCGATCCATGGTCTTTTTCTTGAATCAGGAATTACGATGTATGTGCTTCTTTTCTGGCATATTCGCCAGCCAAACTTTTCTCTCATTTCTCTCTAAAGTCCTTACCTTTCTATCGTCTAAGTTTTTTGCCTGCCCTTCGTCGTTCAGTCTTGGAACCGAAGTATCCCGTAACGAGCCCTGGTATACGTTGACTTGGGACGTTGACGTTGGAACCAGTGCCTGTTCCTCCAGTTTCTGATAGAATAATTACACTTTCTCCTGTGCTTGTGGTAGCATAGGTTTTGACGATTTTTAGCGTCCTCTCCTTGTTTAGCTGGAGGCACCACATGGTCACTTTTGGTGATTCGTGGTGACATGGCAGCAGATGATTTTGATTGACCACAAATGAGCTTTTGCTGACTGCAAATTCGATTTGTCCTATGTTCTTCGCGTCCCTCTCTTCCTAGCCGAATCGAACTACCGTCTTTCCAGACGCCGCCCACCTCCTTCCGCCGTCGTGTCTCGCAGAGGCCACGCTTTCGCCGGTTTTCCCTGATCTTTCCTCTGTTAGTTGATTCAACGTTTCTTTCCTCGCCAGCGTTTTCTTGCAGTTGTAAACGTAAATGATGACAAGGGTTGTCCGCATCCGTTTATTCGCCTGAAATTCTTAGCAGTCCCTTAACTGTCGAACCAGGAACCGCCGTTGTGAATCGGGTCAAGAGATGGCAAGGTGCTTAGGTCCATTTATTAGTGTTGTCATGAAGTTTTGCCGCCCGCCCGCTGGCAGGGCTAATGGTGGCCTGGGAACTTTCGTACAGTCGGAACCTCCAGTTCCGTCCGGCTTTTAATCTAAGTTGTCTCTTTCATCATTTGACGAACTGACGTCTAACCGCAAAGCAGTGGTGACATTGGCGGCGTTTTTCTTCAAGGGGCGGGTCGCTTTCACATCGACAGGAAACTGTCATTGCACATTAAGACTTTTTCGCTGAGGACCAAACTTGTCGAACTCGAACCCAGCCACGCCCTCGTGGTCTCGCTGCTGCTGTGTCGCATCTATCCTCCATATCTGAAGACCATTTTCCCATCCGTTGCACAGGGACTCCTGTCGATGCCTTTATATGTAAGATATTCTAAATATGTACTGTCAAGTATATTCATTTATGTCAATTCAAAGATAAATATTAAATGTGTTCAGCAGATTCCTGAGACATCTCCTTAAAAATCCTTTGGACCCTGCCAATGACGGATGCATGTTCCAATCTAGAGGGCGTTCAACAAAGAGGTGAATAGACTGCCGGTTAGAACGGACGCGATTATGATGATGTTTAATATAGTATGTTGCCTATAAAATTATGAACTTGGCAGCAAGCATTGCAGAGTCTCAAGCGTATTCAAACCTCTCTGAACCATATACATCTCTGCATTGGTCGGACATGAGCAGATGTGCTGGAAGCCGATGAAATACCTGGACTAGATCCAATTGTTAGCCATTAGGAATCAGTGCAACCAATAGACAGGTAGCCGTAGGATCTCAAAAATTTCGCATCATTGGTGGGATATGCGTGGTATTGCGGCGCTTGGTCAAGTTAGGCAGTCATGGCACAGGTACGGGACAATTGCTGAGTAATATGACCACAAGGACAAAAGCAACCGAATGTGTTGAGAGAAAATCTCAACATCGTCCATGAGAACATTCAGGTTTACCGATGAACTTTTCTCGATATACCGGAACGCCATAAAAATCGAACATGAAAAACTGCAATATACAAGCAATCCATTCACACCGCACATTAATGAATTTTTGTTCTCAAACCCTGGGCTTCATTAAATAAAGTAGGACTAGTTCTAGCGGCTCCTTATCACTAGTTATAGTAGGAGGCCTTTGGCCATATTTATTTACATGTATGAACAAAGAACATTTGAGGGACGTCGTTTTGTGTCAATAATGCCTCTACAACGAAGATATATATGCCAGGACTGTATGAGTTTGTTGCTATTTGCTATGCTAATTATTTTTATTATATCTCGACAGCAAAGTTGCTTACCGTTGTGCATAACGCGTTGGTTCCCACAGAAAGCGTCATTCAACGCTTTCATCGTTTTATCCTTTGAACTGAGAATGGTGACTGAAGAAATGGACGAAGGAGTGGTTGAAATGACGCTGAGTACATAATGCAACGACAATAAATATCATTTTCCGTTTAGAATGATGACAAAATGAATGCAAAAGTTTCAATAATATTTTCTCGTTCAATTTTCATAATTTCCACCACCTAAACGGTGAAAAGGTTTTATTTTACTTTCGTTTTTAATGCCATCCATCAACTATACATTCTTCGAATCTTCGTTTCTTCTTGCCAATGAGTTGTCATTCGCATTTCAGAGGGCAGAAGGCATGACGAGATTTCCACCTTGAAATCTTTGGGAATTTTTATGAATGATAGGCCTCTGTCTGTCCATGATTACTTGTTATTAAAACTCACAACTTTTGTTATCTGCCTTAGAGAATATCTGTTAGCATCGCTTTACCGTGCATTAGTGACGTAAATATTGTAACGTAGGAAAATAGGTCAAATCAGGTGAGCAGAAAATGGTACTGATTCCGTACTATAAGGTCTAAACGATAAAAGAAAAGGCGGAAACGAGCTGCAACAAATATTGATCACTGTTGTACGGGCATCCTGGAAACTTGCTTCAGATGATACTCGTATTACTCTTAACTGATGCTAAGCGCGCTTATAAAGTAAGAATTAATCTTATTACAATCATTTTCAGTACTTTGCTCTGTAGCGTCTCTTAAAGTGATAAATTCGTGCCATGTTCAGAGGATAGACGGCAAATGGTCCCATCGAAGTTTCATTTGAGATAAATATGGCTTCCAAACTTCACATGTCCTTTTCTGAGACAAAACTGCTTTAGAGACATTATCAGCTCTATAAACAGCCATTGAGTTACTCTTTGTCATCTGTGTTAAAGTTTACGGTAGGTCTTGATGTTAGCGGTAGTGTGTATGGAGAATGCGCTTCATCGTACGTCTATGGTTGCGCTTTGGTACTTTTAGTCGTGAGTATCAACATATGAAGCCGTCTTCTGGTTCAGTTCAAAGGTTTGAGCGAAGTACGGTAATCGTTAATATGCGCTTTTGTAGAAACCGTAAACCGACTTATAGGGTTCGTTAAACGGTTGTCTGTTTTTATACGCCTGAGTAAACTTAACGCAAATGTGTTGGTCTGCCTGTCTCAGTCACCTGCTCGTGCAATGGTTGACCTTACCAGCTGCCCGACCGGTTCGATCAAGGTTGTTCAGTCAGAAGGCGTTGATGACCCG